GAACCTGACTGCTGGAAATCTTGGAGTTGTTGCTGCACGTGATTTGTCCCAGTCTGTTTTCATCTGTTAATGACCTCTGGAAGGGAATTTGAGCTGTTGCAGGTGTTAGCTTGGGAACAGGAGGGTGATGACTCTTGAGAAGTATTGCTGCTGGGAGGTGGAGAGGGCAGGTCCAAGGGACAGAATGAGCCAGGCCTCTGACCAGGAGCTAAATCCTGCTATGATGTTGGGTTGCTGTGAGCTGCTCTGGCTGGCAGCGCCAGGACCACAGGCTGCCTCTGACACAAGGTTGCTGACCGCTTAATGAACAGGGGGCAGAGTTGGCCTGTGCTGTGCACCCAATTTTAGGGGCTTGTTCTCTCTTCTGCTCAGCCCACCCTTGCTCACATAGCCCCGTCTGCTCACATGTGTGAGCCTCCCCTCCTCTGCACTCCACTCTGCTCTAAGATGAGGCCTCCTCCATAATCTTAGGAAAGTATCCGAAGGGAGATCCCAGGTATCGTGTGCATGGGGCCTCAGCTGTGGTGTTGCTGCCAGCAGATTCAGAAAAGTCAGCAGCCTGAGCTTATCTTGGCCGGGCTGCTTTGCTGGCTACAGTCTTACTGCAGTAAGACAGGTTGCATGCAAGTGCTAGATAGGGATATAGCTGAGGGGAAAGGTGCAACCCTGCCATGATTCCTGAAGCTGTCCTGCTGTAGGGTAGCAGCCCAATGCCTTGGCAGGGTGCTGCTGGCTCCAGCCCTGGCATGTGGCTGTGTATTGCTCCGCGCATGCCCATGTGCACTTGCATGTGTCACTGATAGGTGCCTGACACTGAGTTTCCTTTCTCATGTTTCAGGAGTCGTCGGCCAGATGCTGCTAGATGCCGGCAGGCGAAAAGTAGACTTGCAGACAGGAGGACACCGATGTTTGGGTGCGTTGTCACTTGGGATCTGTAAGTCCTTGTTCTGACGGAAAGTTAGCCAAGGATGCTGAATTGCTCTAGTAGTGATCTCTGATTGTGGGGGTGGGCCGGGGTGGGCAGGTGTGTTATGAGTTCCAGGGGTGTGGTGGAGGGAAGTGCAGTTGTCTTTCTCCCAACCCATTGTATAAGGCAGATGACCTGAGATGGAAGGTCGTGGATGCCAGGAGGGGAGGGAGATTAGTCATATTGAGACTAAGGAGTTGCCTGCAAAGAGATGGCCAGACCTGGAGCTTGTTCATTCTGAACACTCCTGGGTAGATCCCTGTGGGCCATTAGTATCAGATCTCCTGAGGGAACTCCCTCTGTAAGTCTGGTAGTAGCTGTGTGGTGCTGGTGACTTCAGCAGTTGCTTCCTGCTAGCCCAGTGGAAGTGGCATCGATCCAGTGTGCGTGGGAGGGCGCCTCTTTATGGCTGAGTAGGTATGAGCTCTGTTGAGAGTTAACTTGCTCTTGTGCCCTGAGGGAGGTAGCTGTGTTGTTGTGAAGCTGCCTTTCCTGTGGTAGTCAAGGCCTGAAGACAACATGATAGTAAGGAAAGGGGCCAGCCCGCTTGTTGGGGCAGGGCCGGTGCCAGGGTGTCTCTTCAACTTGTTCCAACAGAGCTCAAGCTGTGCACAGTCCCTGTTGCCCATGTGCTCCTTTCCCCTTCTGTCTGGCTCTCCCTCTGTGCGAGTGCAGATGCTTTCTGCCTCCTTGGGCTAGGTGCCAGAAGCAGGGGAGGTTGGCTTTAGGCAGGCATTGGGAGAGGGAGGGCCCAATGGATTTGCTTCAGTGATGGTGGCTGTGGGGGAAATGGCTTTCTGCCTGGGCTTTTGCATGGTTGCTGTCCTATTCCCATACCCTAGGTTCAATAGTTGCCATGCTGGGCTTGGTCCTTTAGATGAGGAGGGGTGTCTCTCTCTTTGGATTTGTATCATGCGTTTGCTGGGGGCTGCTGCACCTGGGAGCTGCCTGTAGAGATACAAGCTACAGAAGGCAGTATCCCTTCTTGTCCTGAACCAGGCTCTGTAGAAACTGCCATTGCCGCATCAGCTAATGGTAGATAATAAGTATGTTAGCTAAAGGTCTCTGCTGTAAAGCAGTTGGCAGTGGAATAGTTACCTTTGCCAAATCTGCCATGAGGAGGTTTCAGAGGTAACCACCCACCAAGGTAGATGGGGGAAGATCTAGTTGGAGGGGTCCCAGTCCTGGGAGAGGTTTGCTTTTGACCTCTGTGGAAGCAGGGATGGCAGACACTTGGAGTTCTTGTTTTAGGCTCTGTGGAAAGCAGAACTGCATCTAGGGCATATTGAGAAGGTGCGTCCGAAGGGCTGAAAATGTAACTTAAATGCCGAAGCATAGGTTGTGCTGTTCACTTTCCACTTGGGGCCTCCAGCCTGGTGAAGAGATTCTCCAAAGCCTGCTAGGGTCTGTTTTTCCCTAGACCCCGCTTTTGAAACTCATATTCACTTTATTTAAAATAAGGGTCAGTGGCTGACTAATAACAGGTGCACTCAGACTGTGGATTGAGGTGGGGAAGTGAGGGATCCTGGCCTTCTTTGGCTTTCTCTTCCCGGTTGTCTGTGTATAAGCATTGAGCTCTTCCTCACAAATGAGGTTGCACTCTTGTCCCCCTCATACACCTCTACCCCAGACAGATGCACATGGATAGTGCAGGAGCTGGGCTGTTGCCAGGTATTGGGGCTGGAGTGTTATGGGACATACAAATGTATTCTGTGATGGTTGTTAAGCTTTCTTTGTGTTTTTCCCCACAGAACATCCGAGTGAGGCTTTGAATTGGAGCCCAGGCTGGTAAGTGCTCAGCTTGTCATGGGCTAGAAAGATGGCTGTAGGGCTTTGAGATGCCTGCACTTGCTCCTAGTGGCTGGGAAGGAGTTAAATGAAGGAGCGCTCCAGGTCACTTGGCTGGTGGCATGGCTAACAATTGGAGCTGCTGCACTCCTCTCCAGGAAGGAGAAACACCTGCCCCATAAGCCGGCCCATCTCTCAGCTGATGTGCCTTGGGTCCCACAGTGGGCTGCATGGTGTGTGGGCCCTGGTAGTCCCCTCTGAGCACCTCTGGGAGTTTTGTAGTATAGTAGTGCTCAGGGGCACTGATAAGAATCGGGACCCTGGTATGTTGGTTGTAAACCCAAAAGTGGGAATGATCTGTCTCCAGCTCTCCTTTCCAGCAGGCTGAGACAAAGGTGGGTCTCCATGGATTTGACAGGAGAGGGGATAAAAGTTAAGCAGATAAGGTCAAAGCAGGTGTTTTATGCATAGTGCGGGAAGAGGCTGAAGGGGCCATGTGGGATCTTCTGTGTTGGGGACAGAGAGCAATATGTTAAGAGACTGAGGTTGTTAGGCTTTGTATAAACAAACGAATTAGAGCCATGTAGCACCAAAGCACCGTACAGAGAGGTAACAGTTGTTACCCCAGAGACCGCAATCTATGGGCATGGGCAGATGAACAATGACTTGTTTGAAACAGAGAAGACTTACTATTAAGGAGTGTGCATCAGCTACCGTGGTGTAACTGTTTCCACTCCTAGCCCACAGTGAGTGCAGCTAAATTATGGTAACTTAACCCTGTTTCATTTAGTTTTCTCTTACTAAGAGATGGGAGTGGACAGATGAAATGGCTGTAGTGGATTCAGTTCAGCTGTGGTAAAGCCCTCCTTAAAACTCTGCTATTGTTTCTGTCCTTGCCTTAAATGTCATATAAAACAAGACTGAGCAAGAGTGGGTACGTGCAGGGGAGGTTCTGGCCTCCTCAGCCTAGCAATCTTGTTTTGGCCAACATGCATTGTGCACATTGCAGAAGTGATGAGGAGCCAGGTTTCAAACCATTGAACTTAAGACATCCCCTGACCTTTTGGCAAGGGGAAATGACCTCCCTGAAAGGTTTGCTGGCCAAGAGTCCAGGCAGCCTGCATGTGGAAGGGGGCTGAGTGGCTGGCTCAGCATCTGATCTGGGGGAGTAGCTCCCCCAGATAGAAGGGGCTAGTGCAGAGTTCATCCAGGGTCTTGCATAGTGAAGTGTTTCCCCTATGCTCCAGAGATGCAACACAATTGCTGAAGGGAGAGGAGGTGCCAGGGAGCATGGAAGAGATGGATGGTCAGTGCTGAGAGGCAAGGAGGTGGCCAGCGCTTGGATATGGAAAGCAGGGGGATTGGGCATTAGGGCCATACCTGAGCGGGGCCATGGTGTTGCCCAGTTGGACATGCTGAGGGGCAGCTGGCATACCTGTGGCACTTCAGTGAGTTGGCACCTCCATTGCTGCCTGGCTTGGGCCACTGTTCACACCTTGTCTTGCAATCCTGGCTGACCACCAGAGTCTCCCTGAGCACTGCCCTCTGGCTCAGTTTCCTCTGAAGGGCAGCAGCCTCCTCCATGCCCAGGAGAGCTGTTCTAATTCTGTCTATGTCTTTGTCCTGCTTTAGGTCCCATTTGCCCTGAAACATGGGAATCCTTGCACCCAGAACAGAGGGAGCACTGGTGGGCATTGACTGGCATGGTCTCCCCCTCAGCTCTACAGCTGAGCAGTGCAGAATCCAGTCCTGGGCTCCAAAGCCAGTGGCAGTCAGCTTTGACCTGATTGGTGCCTTCTGGTTTTGATTTCCCTCTTTTGAGAGAGTGAACAGCTCCAACAGTGCTCTCAAGGCCTGGCCTGGCATGCCTCTTCTTGGGAGCAATCTCACTTTAATAATGCAGACCAAGAACTGCCAGGCTGTGTCTGTGTGCTACATGACTGCAGCCTGTGTCAGCAGTGACAGAGGGAGATCAATAGCTCTTGCCTCAGCCATCACTGCTGCCTGTTAGGCTTGCAGCTTCCATATCGAATAAAGGCCTTTCCTAAAGAGCATGATCAATATGCTGCTCTGAGGTCTGTTCTCGTTTGCTATATATAAACTGGATGCACGCCGTACGTGAGTGAGCATGTGCAGGGGATAGGATGTGCCAGCTTGCCACTCTTGCCAGCTGGGAGGAGGACACGGCTAACTTCTCCTCCATCCCCCTTTCTTGCAGTTGCTGCTCCAGGTCCTTGAGTTGCCTTCTTCCCCTGTTGTGGCAGCACATTGGATGGGAAGCTCCTGGGGAGCCTAGGGCCTCTGATCTCCTGTTGGAGAGGCTGTGGGGCTGGAAGGGGCACCAGTGAAACTCTCTTCTGTGCCCTTTCTGCTCCTGGTAGGTGACCTGTTGGCCCCCCAAGCAGAAGGGAGGATGTCAAGCACAGCTCCTTCCAAGAAGCCTTACCGCAAGGCACCGCCGCAGCACCGGGAGGTCCGCCATGATGTGCCCATTCTCCGAGAAGACCAGGACGGCGTGATTTTGGCTGAACAGAGTCAGGTAACAGATTACCGGGCGGCTAAGGGCCTGGCACCATTACACCAGCAAACAGGGTTTAGTTATGCCGAGGCAGGTCAGCTCAAGCAGGCAGAGGGAACTGAGGCTGGCAATCTTAACTTTTCCTCCTCCTGCTCCCTGGAGTCGAGCAGTGACAAGGAGCTGGCAGGGCACAGGGCAGGCCTGAGCCTCAAGAGCTGGACCCTGTCACCCAGGCTGCTGCCCTTCGGGAAAGCAAGGAGGCGGAGTGGGAAGCCATGTAAGCCCCACAGCCGTGGGCGCCTCAGCAAGTTCATGAGCCGCAGTGTGGAGACAGTAGTGTCTGGGGACGAAGGCCAGGCACCCACCTGCTCCTTCAAGAGTGGGAGCTTGGAGCGCTCCCTCATGTTCAAAGAGCCTGCTGAGGTCCTGGCACCTGGGATGTTGCGGGTCTCCTCCACCCATCTGCCTCTCAAAGGGATCCTGAAGCAGCCAGGTCTGTTGGGAGTGTGCCCTGAGACCCTGCGCAAGTCCCGATCAGTGGAGGCCTTGGCTCGGGGCCATGACTCCCGCAAGTACAGTGACACTCTGCTCTGTCTCAGGAAGAGGGAGAGGCGCTCACAGGAGCGCAGCAGCAGCAGTGGCAGCAGTGCTGTCGACTCCACCAAGCGCAAGGAGAAGCTCACTGAGGAGAAAGTGCAGTTCTCCAAGTTCCTGGATGAGATCTCCCAACGGGTGCTGAGTCCCAGTCACCTGCGCTCTGTTGGAGAGAGCAGAGGAGGAGGAGGCCAGGAGTCTCCTTCCTCCCCCAGAGTCTCCACACCAGAAGGCCAGAAGGAAACCCAGTCTGAGGGTGCTAAAGCCAAGCGAGCAGCTGAGAGGAAGCTCTGCCAGAGGCAGAGAAATGCAGAGAAGAGGTGTGAAGCTCAAGAAATGGCTTCTAGCCAAAGGCAACCCACTGAGGAGGCTGAGCAGTCCCCTCAGCCAAGGAAGAAGCCCATCTTTGTGAGGAAGGACAGCAAGGAGAAGCTCATCTCTGTGGAGAGGAAGGTGGCAGATCTATGCCAGGATGAGCTGCAGCAGTTGGCAGAGCGGGGTTTGGCAGGGATGTCCTCTGGGCAGCAACAGCTGCTATCTTCATGGAAAAACAATCAGGAAGGAGAAAGGGACAGAGAAGAAAGCTGGAATGAGCGGCCAGTGCGGTCCCAGCATCTTGGTGCCAAACCTGGTCAGAAGCACATGATGGCACCAGGCTGCCTGGAGAGGAGATCCTTTTCCCCTCCAATACACTGGAGCCAGGAAGAGGGGTGTCCTTCACCTAGAACCTCCCCTTCCTTCAGCCTGGCACTAAATAAGGTATGTGCCAGGGTCCTGGAGCCCAGGCCCTGGACCGGAATAGGCACAGATCCCTCCTTCCCATCCTGGCTGTCCCCCCTCTCCTGCCATCCCCCAGAAAGGCAAAGGCCCTACTCTGATTGTATGTGGACAGGGGTGGTGGGGGAAGCCAAAAGGCTAATGTATATATCTGAACTCTGGGGGTGGAGGGGTCAGGCAAAGTTTTTATCCTTGCCTTTTTCAACTCCCTTCTCCAACTTGGAAGCAGTGGGAAGCTCCTTCTGAGTTAACTGCTGGGTGCACAAAAGGAAAAGTACTGAATTTCTGTCCCCTGAGGGGGCAGAAGAAGGCTAGGACTGCCCAGAGTGAAACCATGTTGTTTTGAAAGCACATAAGTGCTGATGCCCTCTTCTAGCCTGCTTGGAGGACAGTCCTACTCCTTTCTTTGCTGTCACTCAGCCTGAGCACCTTGTTTCAACGGGGAGCATCTCCCTCTCAGTGATTGTCAGTTCTGAGGAGAGCTGATGCCTCTTTATCCCCTTTGCAAGCTTCTTGGCCTTCTATAGTTTAGAACCTGCCTAACAGGTTGCCAGGTACCAGCAGGTAGGAATGGCCACAGCTGGTTAGCCTCTTGCCCCAAGAAGGAGGGTCCTCGTGTCCTGCCTGTAGCTGGACACTGGTAAATTGGCCCCAGTTTTGTCCAAACTCCCTTGTCTTGCTCTGGTTAGGTCCTTGTTTGAAAGTGCTTTCAACCCCTCCCCTTCTGTCCACCTAGCTGGCATCTGGGCTGAGGAATCATTTCTCTGACTGCCTGGTTCTTGCGCCCTTGACTTCCTGGGGTCAGCTGGGCTCTCAGTGTGTAGAGCTGATGTAGGGGCAGAGACTGCCGGAGCAGGGTGTGGGGCCTGGGGCCAGTCAGCCTGTGCAGGGCCCTGCCCCTGGACATTCTGGATTTGGCAGTGGGGGGTGCCGAGCAGCTGGAAGTGAAGCCGGCGGCAGTGCTGAGTCAGAACAGCCATTCTGCCTGGCTCTGCCGGGTCCAGGGTGGTCAGCCAGATTTGTGTGCCCCTGCCCCCGCCCCCCCGGGATGGCCCTGTGTAGGGGAGTGATGTTGCAGAAGATGAGAGCCCATACAGCAGGCTGGGAAGGTGTCGTGCTGTATGCAGAGTGGTCTGATGCAGCATAATTGGTTGGGGGCATAGTAAATAGGCTGCAGAGCTCAGGCCCTGCACACTGTAAACTACAGTGTTCCCCAGGTGGTTTGGAGGAGGAAAGGAAGTGGGATAATAACACTGCATATTAGAGCCATGATTGGGCCAGCTTCTATACCCTGGTATTGCTAGCACCAAACCTCTGTCAAGGGCATCTGTGTAGCAGGGTGCGCTTCACAGAGTAGAGACCTGGGCTGTTCTTAATAAGCAGATTCTGAGGTGCAGCATCATCTTGGGAACCTTCCTG